AAGTTGGAAAACACTCTGCAGGATACTATCCAGGAGAACTTCCCCAATCTAGCAAGACAGGCCAACATTCAAATTCAGGAAATACAGAGAACACCACAAAGATACTCCTTGAGAAGAGCAACTCCAAGACATAATTGTCAGATTCACCAAAGTTGAAATGAAAGAAAAAATGTTACGGGCGGTCAGAGAGAAAGGTCGGGTTACCAACAAAGGGAAGCCCATCAGACTAACAGCGGATATCTCGGCAGAAACTCTACAAGCCAGAGGAGAGTGGGGGCTAATATTCAACATTCTTAAAGAAAAGAATTTTCAACCTAGAATTTCATATCCAGCCAAACTAAGTTTCATAGTGAAGCAGAAATAAAATCCTTTACAGACAAGCAAATGCTGAGAGATTTTATCACCACCAGGCCTGCCCTACCAGAGCTCCTGGAGGAAGCACTAATCATGGAAAGAAACAACCAGTACCAGCCACTGCAAAAACATGCCAAAATGTAAAGACCATCGATGCTAGGAGGAAACTGCATCAACTATTGAGCAAAATAACCAGCTAACATCATAATGACAGGATCAAATTCACACATAACAATATTAACCTTAAATGTAAACGGGCTAAATGGTCCAATTAAAAGACACAGACTGGCAAATTGGATAAAGAGTCAAGACCCATCAATGTGTTGTATTCAGGAGACCCGTCTTACATGCAGAGACACACATAGGCTCAAAATAAAGGGATGGAGGAAGATCTACCAAGCAAACGGAAAACAAAAAAAAGGCAAGGGTTGCAATCCTAGTCTCTGATAAAACAGACTTTAAACCAATGAAGATCAAAAGAGACAAAGAAGGGCATCACATAATGGTAAAGGGATCAATTCAACAAGAAGAGCTAACTATCCTAAATATACATGCACCCAATATAGGAGCACCCAGATTCAGAAAGCAAGTCCTTAGAGACTTAAAAAGAGACTTAGACTCCCAGACAACAATAATGGGAGACTTTAACATCCCACTGTCAACATTAGACAAAAGTTAACAAGGATATACAGGACTTGAACTCACCTCTGCACCAAGCAGACCTAATACACATCTAGAGAACTCTCTACCCCAAATGAACAAAATATACATTCTTCTCAGCACCACATCGCACTTATTCCAAAATTGACCACACAGTTGGAAGTAAAGCACTTCACATCAAACGTTAAAGAACAGAAATTATAACAAACTGTCTTTCAGACCACAGTGCAATCAAAGTAGAACTCAGGATTAAGAAACTCACTCAAAACTGCTCAACTACATAGAAACTGAATAACCTGCTCCTGAATGACTACTGGGTACATAACGAAATGAAGACAGAAATAAAGATGTTCTTTGAAACCAATGAGAACAAAGATACAACATACCGGAATTGCTGGGACACATTAAAAGCAGTGTGTAGAGGGAAATTTATAGCACTAAATGCCCACAAGAGAAAGCAGGAAAGATCTAAAATTGACATCCTAGCATCACAATTAAAAGAACTAGAGAAGCAAGAGCAAACACATTCAAAAGCTAGCAGAAGGCAAGAAATAACTAAGATCAGAGCAGAACTGAAGGAGACAGAGACACAAAAACCATTAAATAAATCAATGAATCCAGGAGCTGGTTTTTTGAAAAGATCAACAAAATTGATAGACCGCTAGCAAGACTAAGAAAGAAGAAAAGAGAGAAGAATCAAATAGACGCAATAAAAAATGATCAAGGGGATATCACCACTGACCCCACAGAAATACAAACTACCATCAGAGAATACTATAAACACCTCTATGCAAATAAACTAGAAAACCTAGAAGACATGGATAAATTCCTAGACACATACACTCTCCCAAGACTAAACCAAGAAGTTGAATCCCTGAATAGACCAATAACAGGCTCTGAAATTGAGGCAATAATTAATAGCCTACCAACCAAAAAAAGTCCAGGACCAGACATATTCACAGCTGAATTCTACCAGAGGTACAAGCAGGAGCTGGTACCATTCCTTCTGAAACTATTCCAATCAATACAAAAAGAGAGAATCCTCCCTAACTCATTTTATGAGGCCAACATCATCCTGATACCAAAACCTGGCAGAGACACAACAAAAAAAAAAAGGAAAATTTTAGATCAATATCCCTGATGAACATCGATGCAAAAATCCTCAATAGAATACTGGCAATCCGAATCCAGCAGCACATCAAAAAGCTTATCCAAAATGATCAAGTGGGCTCCATCCCTGGGATGCAAGACTGGTTCAACATACACAAATCAATAAATGTAATCCAGCATATAAACAGAACCAAAGACAAAAACCACATGATTATCTCAATAGATGCAGAAAAAGCCTTTGACAAAATTCAACAGCCCTTCATGCTAAAAACTCTCAATAAATTCGGTATTGATGGAACGTATCTCAAAATAATAAAAGCTATTTATGACAAACCCACAGTCAATATCATACTGAATGGGCAAAAACGGGAAGCATTCCCTTTGAAAACTGGCACAAGACACTTCTATTCAACATAGTGTTGGAAGTTCTGGCTAGGGCAATCAGGCAAGAAAAGGAATAAAAGGTATTCAAATAATAAAAGAGGAATTCAAATTGTCCCTGTTTGCAGACGACATAATTGTATATTTAGAAAACCCCATCGTCTCAGCCCAAAATCTCCTAAGGCTGATAAGCAACTTCAGCAAAGTCTCAGGATACAAAATCAATGTGCAAAACTCACAAGCATTCTTATACACCAATAATAGACAAACAGAGAGCCAAATCATGAGTGAACTCCCACTCACAATTGCTTCAAATAGAATAAAATACCTAGGAATCCAACTTACAAGGGATGTGAAGGACCTCTTCAAGGTGAACTACAAACCACTGCTCAATGAAATAAAAGAGGACACAAACAAATGGAAGAACATACCATGCTCATAGATAGGAAGAATCAATATTGTGAAAATGGCCATACTGCCCAAAGTTATTTATATATTTAATGCCATCCCCATTAAGCTACCAATGTCTTTCTTCACAGAATTGGAAAAAACTACTTTAAAGTTCATATGGAACCAAAAAATAGCCCTCATTGCCAAGACAATCCTAAGCCAAAAGAACAAAGCTGGAGGCATCACACTACGTGACTTCAAACTATCCTACAAGGCTAAAGTGACCAAAACAGCATGGTACTGGTACCAAAACAGAGATATAGACCAGTGGAACAAAACAGAGCCCTCAGAAATAATGCCACACATCTACAACCATCTGATCTTTGACAAACCTGACAAAAACAAGAAATGGGGAAAGGATCCCCTATTTAATAAATGGTGCTAGGAAAACTAGCTAGCCATAAGTAGAAAGCTGAAAATGGATTCCTTCCTTACACTTTATATGAAAATTAATTCAAGATGGATTACAGACTTAAATGTTAGATTTGAAACCACAGAAACCCTAGAAGAAAACCTAGACAATACCATTCATGACATAGGCATGGGCAAGGACTTCATGTCTAAAACACCAAAAGCAATGGCAACAAAAGCCAAAATTGACAAATGGGATCTCATTAAACTAAAGAGCTTCTGCACAGCAAAAGAAACTACCATCAGAGTGAACAGGCAACCTACAAAATGGGAGAAAATTTTTGCAATCTACTCATCTGACAAAGGGCTAATATTCAGAACCTACAAAGAACTCAAACAAATTTACAAGAGAAAAACAAACAACACTATCAAAAAGTGGGCAAAGGATATGAACAGACACTTCTCAAAAGAAGACATTCATACAGCCAACAGACACATGAAAAAATGCTCATCATCACTGGCCATCAGAGAAATGCAAATCAAAACCACAATGAGATACCATCTCACACCAGTTAGAATGGCAATCATTAAAAAGTCAGGAAACAACAGGTGCTCGAGAGGATGTGGAGAAATAGGAACACTTTTACATGGTTGGTGGGACTGTAATCTAGTTCACCCATTGTGAAAGACAGTGTGGTGATTCCTCAAGGATTTAGAACTAGAAATATCATTTGACCCAGCCATCCCATTACTGGGTATATACCCAAAGGATTACAAATCATGCTTCTATAAAGACACATGCACACGTATGTTTATTGCAGCACTATTCACAACAGCAAAGACTTGGAACCAACCCAAATGCCCATCAATGATAGACTGGATAAAGAAAATGTGGCACATATACACCATGGAATACTATGCAGCCATAAAAAAGGATGAGTTCATGTCCTTTATAGAGACATGGATGCAGCTGGAAACCATCATTCTCAGCAAACTATCGCAAGAACAGAAAAGCAACACCACATGCTCTCACTCATAGGTGGGAACTGAACAATGAGAACACTTGGACACAGGAAGGGGAACATCACACACTGGGGCCTGTCATGGGGTCGGGGGGAGGGAGGAGGGATAGCATTAGGAGATATACCTAATGTAAATGACGAGTTAATGGGTGCAGCACACCAACATGGCACTTGTATACATATGTAACAAACCTGCACATTGTGCACATATACCCTAGAACTTAAAGTATAATAAAAAATTAAAAAAGTTTTTTAAGGGGAAAAAGATATTGACGAGGTAGAAACTACCAATGGAAATGCAGATTTTTTTAATTTATTAATACTGAAAGCATGTTCACTTTGATGTAATAAGCTATCTTATATGTAAATCTATTCTCTGTTTATCACAGTTTCCACGAGCCCAGGACCTGACTCACTGAGAAAAACATGAAGGATTATTTGGCATCTGTGAGCAATTTGCACAATTAGTGGAAAAGAGATAAATACATTTCTTCCTTTTGTTTCTCATCTTCTGTGTATAAAACACAGAAAAAAAGTTGTAAGAACACATAACATGTTTTTGAAATACATGACTTCCTATAAAAATTTATTATTATTATTTCATTTTACAAAAATTACTAGTTAGGAAATATTAATGTTAGGTAGCCATTCATATGCAAGAGAAATAGCTTACCACTCAGGATAACATGCTTCTTAAAACTTGTCCTATTTCTGCAATGCAGCAAATGTGAAGCTGTAGAAACAACAAAAATGCTTTTTTGTCATGGGCATTCCTACAAATAAAAAAGTAAACTGACACATTGACAACTACAGAGCACCAATAGCTTATTACAAGTCAGCTGAATCCATCAGCTTATCCAGCTTCGCTGGATAGGGTTTAGAAGATGGAGATCAAAACTTGCCAGTCAGTTATCACTTGGATGTGGTCTAGTTTCAGTGAAAGATATTCAGACTTCCTGATTTGCTTGTAAATCTGGGTCCAATTTCTCTCTCTGGATTACGGTAAAATAATTGAGGAGTCAAGGATATTCTCTTTTTAAAATATTTATTGATTTGCCATTGAATTGATTTGTCTGAAGACATTCAAAAGATTTGCTTTGCTTGGTCTTATGAGAATGGGATCATATTTTTACTTGCTTTAGAATTCTGAAATGAATTGAAATCCGATTGCCTTCCCTGAGGAAATAGCTGAAATATTTGGTGACTACATCTTCCAAAAAGTTCCATTAAAATGCAAATACTAGCCATTAATTTAAATGAATTTTCTTTCCCTTTAATCAAACTGTTCAATGAAATTAGGATTGGGAGCAGATGTCTTGGCTTCACCAATGTATTTCCTTTTATCCTGTTTATAGTGTACCCTTCTGGTTGACCAGTCACAAGTAACACCTCATGTCTTCAAAATGTCTATCTTTATCTTTTTTTATTCGGTGTCTTCTAAATTAACATTAAAAGATTAGAAGAAAAGAAAAAATGGAGCCCACTACCCATAAGATACAGATGATATTTTTCTCAGGCAGTGTTTGTCTTTTTATTGCATTTCCCTGTGAGAGTTTCATTCTCAGCTATTGTTTTAGTTACAGCGCTACTTAACTTGTAGCATTCTTTCTTCCTTGGCTCACCTAGTATTATGACTCCCCTAGTTCCTTTATAGCACCTTGTTTGTTTGTTCAGATTTAGCATTTATGAGAACTGCCCTTTTTATTACTTGAGTTTCCTAATAAAAATGCTACTGCGACTTACTGTGAAAGATTGAGGGATATGTTTCTTTGGAAAATAGTTACAGTGGCACATATATACAGGGATAGAAATAGACAAGTCCCTTCTAAGCAAGGATCATGACATTGATGTCTTTTATTTTCTTATAGCATCTAGTATAATAAAAAGACACATAGCAGGAGACTAACAAATCTTTAGTGAATTGAATTGAACATTTCTAGCAGATTTTCTAATATGAACTGACAATGGATTTTCTGACTCTCCTGGATGCAATAGGCAGCCTCGAGATAGGTTTTGGATGGACAGAATAATTACTGGATATTTCAGTGGTTTATGACAAACAATAGTGCAGTGTATTTCAAATAATTATATATGGCTGGCACATTCAGCACAGTCATATTTGCTCTACAGACATTTACTAAGTATTGTGTCTCAGTTACAATGAAAACCAAGATGCTATCCTTGCCTCCAAGGAGCTCACACTCTGATGCCCTTAGCTAGCTTCAGGAGTAATTTTAGAGATGAAGATGTTGTTGTCGAAAGAGGCCAAGCATTCTAGAAATAGTGTGTTTGAGGCAGTTGAGTATATGTTCCTTTCACTACAAAATTTATGGCAAACCTTAAGCAATGTTAAAGTGATGCCCCTACCTCGTTTCTCAAAGTATTGTTGATGTGGATTTTTTCCCTAATGTATTTATTTGCCCAGTAATTATTTGGCCAACTAATTTCCCTATTTCCTAGGCTAATATGTAGAAATAGAATACTCAGGTAACTTGAATACCTACATAGTTATCCTTATTGAATATTAAACTTTTTCAAGAATAGCTACCTATCTAATATTACTTTATCTTTTCTTTGCAATTCTTATCAATTTAGGTTCTTGCTGAAATATGCTATGATGTTATGGCGTTTGGAATTACAGTTGCTATAGACTGAATATTTGTGTCCCCACTAAATTCTTATGTTGAAATCCTACCACCCAATATCATGGTACTAGGAGGCAGAGCATTTGGGAGGTGATTTTATCATGAGATTGGAGTCTTCATGAGTGGGATTATTTGCCTTATGAAAGATATCCCTGAAAGCTCCCTTGTCCCTTCCACCATGTGAGGACACAGTGAGAAAACTACCATCTGTGAACTAGGAAGCATGTCCTCACCAGACCCCAAATTTGCCAGTGCCCGTGCCTTGATCTTGTTCTCTCTGAAACCGCTATTGCAAAATTGTAACTGATACAGTGAAAGAGGTCTGACTTAACCAACTCCATCTTGCTTCTAACCTCCAAGCTGTCCTTGTTCATTTCTTGGCATAGGCTGAATTAACTTTGGAGGAACTTAGTAGTTTAAAACAAAGATGGTAACAGCTCTTTCCCAAAACAAACCTCCTTCTTGCCTGGAGACTAGACTGCCGTTGTAGGACTGACAAATTAGGCACAAGATTAGAAATTACAGTTTAAGGGTCATGCAGCTGGAGGTTACAAGATTCTGACCCTCCCTAAACTGCTCCTAAGATCAGTGCTTGAAATATTTTGCAGACCCTGCACTTGATGGATCAGCTGGCATTACCCAGATAGATAAACTGGCTCATCTGATCTGTGGCCCCACCCAGGAACTGACTAAGCACAAGAAGACAGCTTTAATTCCCTATGATTTCGTCCCTGACCCGGCCAGTCAGCACTCTTGACACACTGGTATTCCCCTACCCACAAAATTGTCCTGAAAAACTCTGATCCCTGAATGCTCAGGGAGACTGATTTGAGTAATAATAAAACTTGGATCTTCCGCACAGCCTGCTGTGTGTGAATTACTCTTTCTCTATTGCAATTCCTCTATCTTGATAAATCAGCACTGTCTGGGCAGCAGGCAAGGTAAACCCATTGGGTGGTTACATTTCCAGCCTTCAGAACTATAAGAAATAAATTTATATTGTTTATAAGTCATGCAGTTTATGGTACTCTGTTATAGCAACCAAACAGACTAAGACAAAAGTACAGAGATTCTACAGAAATTGGCCTTCAAATTCTAGAAGTTGATGTTAGCATTCAGATGGTAATAATAGCATTATTTTAATGAAAGGACTTGTGTCACCTTTAATAACCTGCTGGTATTTTTAAAATCTATTTTTATTGGCTGGGCGCGGTGGCTCAAGCCTATAATCCCAGCACTTTGGGAGGCCGAGACGGGCGGATCACGAGGTCAGGAGATCAAGACCATCCTGGCTAACACGGTGAAACCCTGTCTACTAAAAAATATAAAAAACTAGCCGGGCGAGGTGGCGGGTGCCTGTAGTCCCAGCTACTCGGGAGGCTGAGGCAGGAGAATGGCGTAAACCCGGGAGGCGGAGCTTGCAGTGAGCTGAGATCCGGCCACTGCACTCCAGCCTGGGCGACAGAGCGAGACTCTGTCTCAAAAAAAAAAAAAAAAAAAATCTATTTTTATTGACCCTAACATTGCACAGACAGAAAAGGGACATGTATTAGCACAGCAAATCCATTTCACATAAGCAATGCTGGTGCTCTGAGTTTAAATGACTTGCAATTATAATCTAAACCTATTAATATTTAAAGTACAAATATTATGTTCAAGACACTTGGTAGATACTCCACATTTTATCATATTTGAAATTTTGAGTGGGAGAGTTAAAAGTGGAAATGAAAAAATTAACATACATTATTCTATAATTTACAACTACAGATAGTATTGCATGATTTTTATCCATTACAAGCTTAATACTTTTAAGCTTAATATTTGGACATTTTACTCTCTCTATCTATATTTTTTCTTTTAAAAGATAGAGTTTCACTCTGTACTCTGTCATGCAGCCTGGAGTACAGTGGCACAATCATAGCTCACTGCAGCCTCAAACTCAAGTGATCCTCCTGCTTCTGCCTCCTGAGTATCTGGGACTACAGTTGTGCACAGCCATGCCTGGTTAAACTTTTAAAAAAAATTTTTGGTAGAAATGGGGTCTTGCTTTGTGTGTTAGTCTGTTTTCATGCTTCCGGTAAAGACATACCTGAGACTGGGAAGAAAAAGAGGTTTAATTGGACTTAACAGTTCTGCATGTTTGGGGAGGCCTCAGAATTACGGCGGGAGGTGAAAGGCACTTCTTATGTGGCAGTGGCAAGAGAAAATGAGGAAGAATCAAAAGTGGAAACCTCTGATAAACCCATCAGATCTCATGAGGCTTATTCACTATCACAAGAATAGCACAGGAAAGACCGGACTCCATGGTTCAGTTACCTCCTCCTGAGTCCCTCCCACAACATGTGGGAATTCTGGGAGATACAATTCAAGTTGAGATTTGGGTGGGGACACAGCTAAACCATATCAGTTTGTTTCCCAGGCTGGTCTCAAACACCTGCCTTCAAGCAATCCTCCTTCCCCAGCTTTCCAAAGTATTGGGATTACAGGTGTGAGCCACCATGCCCTGCCTGTTACAGTATTCTTTTAAGTACATCAAACATAATTTCTAGATGCCTCACCATCTAAACTGACTTGAGAACCTGTGCTTTACATTTATTCTTTCACTTAGCAAACAGTTTCTGAGCACTTGCTATTTGACAAGCACTGTTTTCAGCACCATTAGTACAGGGGTTTATAAAACAAAGCCATTGCTCTTACAGAGCTTTCATCCTAATGGGTGAGGTAACTAGAAACTAGAATACAAGCAAAAGAAGAAGTTGAAGATAGTGATATGTGTGAAACCCTACACGGAAATTTCATTCTTCATTAACTATCAAATATATTAAACAATAACATTAAACATCTACTTAATCTCTTTTTCTATTATTTATAAGTACTTATAATTAATATGGTTAAACATCACAAGAGTAGTTTTAATGACGATAACCTTACAATTTACGAAAGTGTTCACTCATTGTGATGGTTAACATTGAATGTCAACTTGATTGGATTGAAGGATGCAAAGTACTGTTCCTGGGTGTGTCTGTGAGGGTGTTGCCAAAGGAGATTAACATTTGAGTCAGTGGACTGGGAGAGGCAAACCCACGCTCAATCTGGGTGGGCACCAGCTGTAGCTGGGGGTAGAATAAAGCAGGCAGAAGAACATGGAAAGACTTGACTGGCTGAGTCTTCTTGTCTTCATCTTTCTCCCGTGCTGGATGCTTCCCGCCCTCGAACGTTGGACTCCAGGTTCTTCAGCTTTTGGACTAAACTTTCACCAGTGATTTGCCAGGAGCTCTCGGGGCCTTTGGCCACAGACTGAAAGCTTCACTGTCAGCTACCCGGCTTTTGAGGTTTTGGGACTCGGATTGGCTTCCCTGTTCCTCAGCTTGCAGGTGGCCTATTGTGGGACTTTACCTTGTGATGGTGTGAGTCAATACTCCTTCAAGAACTCCCCTTCATACATACATCTATCCTATTAGCTCTGTCTCTTTAGGGAACCCTGGCCAACACATTCATTATCTAGAGAAGAAAAAAATCTCTTACCCACCTTAGATTCATTTGCTGGGAACCTCTAAATTAGATTGATGAAAGACCTATGAACAAGAGAAAAATATACTAATTTACTTCATGTCAGTTGTAAAGAAATGAAGACTTGAAGAAATAATTAAACCTGAGTGTTTTTATACTGAGTTTGATGAAGAATGGAAGATCATGGAAAAATGTGATAGGACAAAGATGTATGAGCTAAGGGTAGAAAACTGGGGGAAACTTAACAAGATCTGTTCATTCAGCTTCCTCTTGGCATCCCTGTTTTGGACATAAGGATGTTTCTTTTGGCTATAAGAAAGGCATCTCTCACAAGAGGGTCTTAGGAAGGGGGAGGTCAGAGAGCGCTTCCTGAACCTGCTGTTACTCAAATTCCTTTAGCTTAGGTTAAGTATACAATATGCCAAGGCATCATATTATAGGGTAACATATTCTGATTCCTGTCAATTAATTCACTCATTCCATATTTATTAAGTCCCTGCTGTGTGCCATTTATTGAGTTCCTGCTATGTTCTCAGCACAAGGAATACAAGAACGATGAAAACAAACACAAATTCTGGCTCACATGGATTTTAATCAGATATAACCTTTTTGTTCTGGATGATTTTCATAGCATTCTACAGATACATTAGAAAACATCTTCCTGGAATCTCAGCACAAATACAAATTATATGAGAAAAACAATTTTATATCTGTGTATAAAATGTAACTTTCAGAATATATTGTTTTATTTACGCCTTGAAGAAAACACTCACATACACAGATTTGTTCTAAGATTCTATTTGTAACATGGAATTGTTAGTTATGTACAGATACTTTTAAACAAGATTTTCCTAGTACACTACCTTAAGGATTCTTAGATTCAAGTGTCAGGAGCGATTTGGGGCTTTTATTCTCAGTTACATAGCCCCATTATATCTAATAATCTTCATTATATGTCTCTGGTTTTTAATCTATGCACTTTTTTCTTTATTCTTACCAGTAATTTCGGGCCGACGTTAGAATTTTATGTGAAAACAATATGTATTGTGTATGCATTTAACTTTTTTGATATGTTTATTAAGTTCTACACAATACTGCTTTTACAATGCCTGTTTTCAAAAATCAGGGCATGGTTTGTCATTACTAATTTTTAAATATATTTTAGATTTATTTGATTCAATAAAGCAAGAAAGGAAGCATTCCATATTTCTCTGACATCTAATATGTTGCCTTTCTAGGTCAGGTTTTTCATCTTTGCCTTTAAGTAATTATTATAATTGAAATCTTATGTAATAGTCAAATTGAACTTTTCCTTTGTCTATGCCTACTATCGAATAACTTGGAACAGAAATTATTTGAAGTATGTATGAACTCCTATTACAAAATGCCATAGACTCAGTGACATAAAACACAGAAATTTATTTCCCACAATTATGGAGGTGGGGAGGTCCAAGATCAAGGTGCTGGGAGGGTTGGTTTCATTCTAAGGTCTCTCCTCCTGGCTTATAGGCTGCTGCTACTTCACTGTCTCACTGTGTCTCACTCACATAATCTCTTCTTGGTGGGTACTTGCAGAGAGAGGGGGAGGGAGAGAGGAAGGGCAAAAGGGAGGAAGGAGCGGGGAGGGAGAGAGGAAGAAAGAGAACACTCTTATGTCTCTTCTTTTTATAATGACACCAATCTCATCTGATTAAGGTCCCATTCTTAAGACCTCATCTCTAAAACTCCATCTCCAATTACCATCGCACTGGGGGTCAGAGCTTCAACATGTGAATTTGGGGGAGACACAAACATTTAGTGCATAACAGTGTGCAATATCAACAAAAACTTTGAATGCAGTAGTGATTTTTGTAGAAATACAGATTTATTTATCAGTCTCTTTCACTTATTAAAATTGTCTAATTATGAAGTAATTGGTCTGTTTACTTTTTTTACATTGAAAAAATGATTATTAATTATCAACGAGCTGTGAGTTAGAGGTGAGATCTGAGGAGAATCCAACATGTAAAAATCAGGTCTATTTATTTGCTATAAGTTTTCCTACAGCTGCCATTGCCAAATCACCAGCCAATTCTAGCTCATGGTTGACAAAGTGGAGATCTCAGAAACTCATAGGGATTTGGGAGGCATTTTCAGATATTGTAACGTAAATAAAACCTGCCTTTTAGGTTTAAAATATTTTTACATTAGGTAAACATTGAATTGGTTGTACTATCATTTTTTAAACATTGGATACTGTCACTGAGATAAAATTAGTCTACTGGGAAGCAACTTTCTGTTATCCCCTATAAATTATCAACATGCAAATATACTGTAAGTATAATGCAGAGGAGGGTGCATAATACAAACCTGAAGGAAGAACTTAATATATTGATGCAAATTAAAGCATAATCTTATTCTTAATTACCCTGAGAAAAGGACCGATGTTTCCTTATTTCGTATCTCCTACTGTCGCACAACTTCAGTCTTGTTTTCAGAAATTTATCCTAGATCCTTCATTTTGTAATTTTGGTTCACCTTCTCCTACCTTCCTGCCCTGTACTGCATACATATTTAGTGCAGGTCTTACCTGGCAGTTATTTAAGGGCCTAAGATAGTTCTCTGCTATTGTTGTCCAGAGATTGGAGGTACCGCATTGCCCACGGCTTGGAGGAGTTAGCCACACCTAAGCATACAAACTGCTGGAGACTCGCAGAGCCATCTGGGTTCACTACCAACCAAACATAACCTCAGAGCACTTTCTGCTGGTTAGTTTTCATGTCTTCAGTTACAGTAACTCAATCCTTCTGTAAGAATCTGCATGAAGATGTCAAATAAAAAGATTTGCGTTATTTGATATGTTGACTTAAATTCTGAACCCATCCACTTGAGGATAATATAGATATGTAAAATGTAGTCTGAGTTTATTAAGGTGCACATTTTATTTCTAACACAAGCAACTCTTTTGAAAATACTATTTTTGTGAAAGTCAAAAGATATATTTTGATAATTCATAATTTATTTTGGGGACCCTATTATACTTAAATACACATATGAATCACCTGGGACTCTTATCTTCTTAAAATGCCAGTTTGGATTCAGTAGGGCTGGGGAGGGGCCTGGGAACCTGCATTTCTCTTGCCCTTCTAGGGGATGCTAATGTTGCTGTTCTGTGGACCACTTTTGAGTAGCAAGGTACAATGGAATATTTTATAATTCTTCCCAATTTCCCAGAAGGTAAAACCTTTTATTTGCTGTTGTATTAAAAGTAATAAAGCTTTTAAAAGTATATCAATAGATACGAAATAAATCATTGTCCTATTCAGTTATTGTTTAAAAATTACAAATTTTCATTGAACATTATCAATAAATTTTAAATCAAAATTCAACATAGAAAATAGTGACAAAATTATCAGTGAAGTAAGCGATGGCATTTGTATGCATAGTGATCAGGTTACCTTAAAAGTACCACATCTACCAGATGAATATCCTACCATATATCAATAAGCACAGTTCTATACAAGTGCTGCATATGTTTTTTTACTGGTTTTTAACAGTTTAATATTAAATCTGTATTTTATTATAACTCATATGTTAGTGACAGTAATAATTTAAAATTGTTACCAAAACAAATATTAGGATTATTTGCAAATATTTGTAAGATTTCACCAATTGAGTCAATTGATGATATCAATTGCGATTGTAGCATTGCACAAGTGAATTTTCATCAGGGGCCAATCTACGAATACAAGATGATACATACAGGACAGCATTAATTTGGGACTCTTCGCTTTATGAAATTTATTAGATATGATGAAGCATGTAACTAAAATTTAGGTTTAAAGTACAAGAAGATGTAGTTAAATTGTGACGTTTTAAATAGTCCTGTTGTATAGACTTATAAAAGTTGGATACAAGATTAGAAAGGAGGTAGAATTCTATTAGTAAGGTTACTGGCGGCAAATCTGTAAGGGTCTGCGGCAAGCTCAATTCTCACCTCCTCAGAAGAAAGAATTTGCCCGAGGGGCATAAGGCAGAGTAAGAGACTGAGACAAGTTTTTGAGCAGGAGTGAAAGTTTATTAAAAAGTTTTAAAGCAGGAATAAAAGGAAGAAATGTATCCTTGGAAGAGGATCAAGCAGGCAACTTGAGAGATCAAGGGCATGGTTTAACTTTTGACTTAGGATTTTACCTGTTGGCATCCTTCCGGGGTCTTGCATTACTTCTCCCCTGATTCTTCCCTCGGGTGGCCTGTCCATATGCACAGTGGCCTGCCTGTTAGTTCTTGGGGGGTGCAGCATGCACAGTATGTTTACTGGAGTTGTACGCATGTGCGCTTGAGGCAGTCTTCCCTTGCTAGGCCAGTGTTCCTAGGTAGTCATATACTGGTTAAACGCAGCCATTTTGCCTCCTACTACGCATGCTTGAGCCCACTTGCCCAACTCCTGAGATCTTATTGGGAAGCTGCTGATCACCAGTTTGAGGTTTTTCTATCTACTAGGAGACTGCCTTTCTCTGGCGCCAGCTGTGACCAATCATTATTTTAGAGAGGCAGTTTAGCAATCGCCTGACGATTCCTGCTGGGGGTGGGGGTGGAGGGGGCTTCTTCTCTGCTCATTTCTGACTACCTACCTACCTACTGTAACAGGAGTGCTAATTTTTCTAACAAGAAAAAAGTTACATGATAAATTAAAATTCTGTGGTAGAGAAGGTGCTTCTGGTAGTAGAAGAAAATGTGATATGTATTGAAGTCATTCAAATTTTAGACAGAATGGTGAATTTGTGATAAAACTGAATAAAAAAATTACAGCTCACTGAAACAGGTTGAAGAATAGGGAATACATGTGAAATTCATTATTAAATATATTTTTATAACTTAGAAAATGATATTGTCAGTGTAGAGAGCATGATAAAATTACTATATCTATAATTATACATCTATGAGTTTTCTGAAGTTAGAAATCAGAGATCAAGCTAGGTAAGTCTATTTTATAGTTCACAATTGAGTCTTACACATGTATGAAAATTCAGAAGTCAATCAATACAATAATAACGATCTCAATGTTACAAAATCTGGTGATTGTAACCACGTTCTCAACTGAATAATAAGACGACTGCTCATGAAATTCATATCAGATGTTTCAGAGTATACCGAAGATTATGTTAATAAAAATGATTTTTCATTTCATTGATGTACCAGTGAAATTCAATCTTTTTAGAACCAATTTAAAAAGGATTAAAAAACATTCTCTGCCAAAAATTTGATTTAGTTTAAGTAAAATACTGGATTAAAGTAGCACCACTGGAAGAAATGAAACCGAGTGGCATGACAGCAACGTTTAAGGAGAATTAGCCAGAACTCTTCATATACATTGTCATGCATATTTTTTGGACACTGTGGTTGTGAGGATTAATCACGAAGAGTTTGAACTCTAAAACACTTTCAATGCTGTCGGTTTTTTTTAAAGATATTAAACATGTAGATTTAAGATACTGGCAAACATCTAGGTATTTTTAAATAAAAGGAAAGCTTGACAATCAGAAAGCCATGTGGTTTAGAAAAAGCACAATTGAAATATATTATCTGTATTATCAGTTGTGATTAAGGAATTTCCGGAGAAGCCCCACAAAATGGAAGTTTCATCAAATTCATATTTAAATATGCATATGATAGTGATTCTTTATGCATATGATAGTGAATAAAATGTTGATAATTTTCTAACTTGAATTTTTTTTTGTTTGTTTTACTGTTTTCTATTTGTTAGAGTTTTTTTTTTTGAGACAGAGTTTCATGTAATGGCGTGATCTGGGCTCACCGCAACCTCCGCCTCCGGGGTTCAAGTGATTCTCCTGCCTCAGCCTCCCTAGTAGCTGGGATTACAGGTATGCACCACTACGCCTGGCTAATTTTGTGTGTGTGTGTGTGTGTGTGTGTGTGTGTGTGTATATTTTTTTTTTTTAGTAGAGATGGGGTTTCTCCATGTTGGTCAAGCCGATCTCAAAATCTCGACCTCAGGTGATCCGCCCTCCTCAGCCTTCCAAAGGGCTTGGGATTACCGGCGTGAGCCACCGCGCCTGGCCGAGAAATCTTTCTAAAGATCTTCGACATCACAATTACAGAAATGTAGTTTTAATCTTTCATAGGTCTTAACCTTTATGAGAATCAGCCAAAAGTTATAGATCTCTTCTTAAGAATACATACACTTAATTAAATATAAAAATATTTAGCATATGATGAATTTTATTCTACTGAAAACTCATTTCAAAATATCTATTGAGGACAATATCTAGAGAAACTTTATTATTTGTAAAAATTGATTTTTTATTTTTTTCAAGAAAAATATTAATGGCAAAAATAAAAAAATACAAATTATGCAGAGAGAATAAAATAAAATGCCTTGCCGGGTTCATCTCTTCCACTTGGTGTTTCTGAGTTACATCCTTTATCCTAAAGTGGTAATAGTAAGTAAAGTGCTTTTCTGAGTTCCGTGAGTCATTGCAGTAAATTGTTAAACCTGACACTAGTGTTAAGAACTTGGATGAGAAAAATGAGAAAAGTTAGAAGTGTTTAGCTTGCCTTGAATCATGCCTGCACTGTGAGACTTATATTCCATGAAGACAAACTATTCAATAATGATGATGGGACAATCAGCTAGACATTATCACAGAGCCGTTTTTAAATAATCCTCATTTTTCTTAATTAATTTCTGCTAATGTATCCGTAATAAATGAAATAATTTCAAATAATTCCTATTTCTTAGTTTCCTGATTCATGATTGGTCTTTTGATTCTTGTGCCAATGTTATATCAATTTGATTCCTGAGATTAATGCCACTTACATTAATTATAAAAGCTGCTAACACAAGCACTTACTGTACACCGGGGGTCATATAAAAAGCTTTATATCTTTTATATGATTCAATTTACACAAGGCACATTTGAGGTGTTTTTTATTCTCCTTTGAAAGATGAAATGAGAGAAAGACATGTTAAGAGACCAGCCAGATGATGAAAAGCTTGTTGGTGAAGCCCAGATTCAACCCCAGGTTAACTTCTTTTGCCAGGGTATGTCTATTTCCATGAAAGAAAATGTCTGTCTTACTTCTCTTCTTTAAAATTCATAATTACGTATGGCCATTTTTCCACTTCCGTTCCCCACATTAATCTTAGTGTCATATCCTTCTTCTAACAACCCCCTTTCCTCAAATCCCATTCTTTTGTTAGTATTCCAGTTTTGTACTTATAACGAGAGGTTGTTTTGCAGGTTTAATTTTGTAATTTAATTTACATTTAATTTTATGGCCAAGATCAAGTGCTATGAGATCATCGTCAAGATTTACTGTCTCAATTATACAACCTTTGTAAAATGATTTGTGAAGCACTCCATCTTTTTATATGCTTTGAAAGAATTTATATGCTATGGAAACTAGGAGCTTCTTCAAAATCTGAAAGAACGTATCTGTAAGTCATTTGACGCCTTAGCATATTTTAGAAAAAAGTGTTTGACACATGGAGAGGTTTTAAGTTTCTTTGTCCATTATTATTAAGCTATTCAGGTTTTCTACTCTCTGTTGAATCAATCACAGAAACATCCATTTGGAATTTTTAAGTTCTTTAGTATAGCATTATAAATAATATTTTATTCTAATTAAAAATTTGAAATCTGTTAAACTCTTCTCATTTGTAATTTTGACCATTAAATGTTTCTGTTTTATTTATTAGACCTATATTTATTTTTTATTTTTCCTCAAAGAACTAGCTCCTGTATATTAGTTCTACTGTTCTTTTAAAAAAATGTTTTCTAATTCACTCATTAGAATTTGCACAATTTCCTTAGGCTTACAAAACTTACTCGCACTGATTTTTATTTTTCATATAACTCAAGAATTTATGACAGGAAAAAAT